ATCCACCGTGCGCTATCCGTGGCTTCCAAGCCTTCACTCGCTGCAGATCACAGGCTGGCTGCTCTTCTCGAGCTACGTCAGCTCCTGGACATTACTCCGGCCAAGGACCTCAGCAGCCTCTCTGAAAATATGCTGCGTCATTTGGGTGCTCTAATGCAACGCACTGTCTCAGCGGATGCGCCTGCCAGTCTTCGCCTCTCAGCCGCAAAAGCCATCGGTCTATTTGCTCAACGCCTAGGTCCTTTTTTCCCGCTCCTTCTCAGGCCGACTCCGTTTTTTTTTTTTTTTTTTTTTTTTTTTTTTTTTTTTTTTTTTTTTTTTTTTCCATTTCCGCGCCATTGTGCTCATCCACCGCTTGATCGCACACGAATATTGCTCCAGGTCCACACGCTGTCAGTTACTTTGCTTGGTTCAACACCACTCTTTCAAACGATCTCAGGGTAGACGATGCCCTTCCGATCCTTTTCTCTCTCTCCGTGGCTCTAGAAGCTGACCATGGCAAAACACTCGGTTTGTTGATGTCCCCAAGCCCGGCCCCCACATCCTTGTGAGTCGGCCGCCCTGACGCTAAGGGCCATCCTCATCACCCCAATGTTGACCAATGACCTCTCTGCAGCGAGTTTTATGCCCGTCTGCGTCAACACGTTGCGAGCCTACCTTCAGCGTCTTCAGTCCCCGCTCTGCCTGCCGGCTATTGTCGAGATTTTTCGCCAATTGGTCCAGGACAACCCCACTGCGTATGTACCCAAGTTTGAGGTCAGTGCTCGTCCGCATCTGACCTGGCTCAGCGTTTCACAGCTTGCGTTTGTGCGTGTGTGTGCGTCGCTGGTCCAAGTGGCCTTGTGCCGCCTGTGTGTTGCTGAGCACCTGTGTACCTGTCCGAGCCTGCCTGTTCTTTTATGTGTGAGCGCAGACCAAGGTTCGGTTTCAAAGTCATCTTTGTCACCTTGCCCGTCATCATCAAACCCTTTGTAGGACATTGTTGATATTCTTATTGGGTGGGCCACGGAAGTGGGCACGCCAGCGCGGATTCGTGAGAGCATCACGCTGGGTCTCGCTCAGTTTTCCAACTTTTGGCAAGCCAAGGTGCGGCCCTTACCCCCCATCTTGATCTCCACCACAACGGCCCCATGAACCTCACCTTGCTCTCATTTTCAACCGTTCTGCCTGCCTTCCAGATTGTCTTTGCCGTCGAGATGATGGATGCCTTCTTGGAGGACGTACAGCATTTAATCTCTTCTTCATCGGA